TGCTTCTCTCCTTGATTAGTTTCCATCTGTTGCTTCTTGTCCTGCCTTCAGGCACCTTGGAAAATAGCTTGACTCCCTCTTCTTTGTGGCAGCCCCTGAGATATTGGAATACTGCTATCATGTCCCCCCTCGTCCTTCTCTTCATTAAACTAGACATACCCAATTCCAGCAGCCTTTCCTTATATGCTTTGGCTTCCAGTCCCCTAATCATCTTTGTTGCTATTCTCTGTACTCTTTCTAGAGTCTCAACATCTTTTTTACATTGTGGTGACCAAAACTGGATGCAGTATTTCAAGTGTGGCCTTACCAAGGCATTGTAAAGTGGTATTAATACTTCACGTGATCTTGATTCTATCCCTCTGTTAATGCAGCCCAGCACTGTGTTGGCCTTTTTGGCAGCTGCAGCACACTGCTGGCTCATATTTAAGTGATTGTCCACTAGGACTCTGAGGTCCCTCTCTCAGTTACTACTATTGAGCAGGGTACCCCCTATACTATACCTGTACATTTGGTTTTTCTTGCCTAAATGTAGAACCTTACTTTTTTCACCATTGAATTTCATTTTGTTAGATAGCGCCCAGTGTTCAAGTCTGTCCAGATCCTCCTGTATCCTAAGCCTGTCTTCTGGAGTGTTGGCTATTCCTGCCAGCTTGGTGTCATTTGCAAATTTGATGATTTGATAACTCTGCCTTTAAGAGAGAACAACCACAGTCATACAAAAATATATGTGCAATAACTCTTAACACTTCTACTGTAGATTACATGTGGTTTGGCATGCTGGATCAGTTTCTTTTGGCATATTGCTTTTAAAATGTTCCCCTTAGGTGTTTTTCTACACCTTAAAATTAACCGCAATACTGAATTGGAATTTTAAAAGATCTAGTTTTCAATACCTTATTCCAAATTTTAGTCAGCCTATTTCCTAATAGAGTGATATGATTTGTTGCGTTTTAAAAAACTAATCTAAATGTTCATGTCATACCTTGTATTTAATTGTGTGGCAATCCTCAGCACCCTTGCTTCAAGCATGAGGCCATTGTTCAGGGAATATGAGAAATCAGCACTCTTAGTCTCTAACAAGAGTAAATAAGGTGGCATTTTTCCTACTTGCTCAAATAGCATGAAAATAATTAAGATCCTTCCGCTGGAAATGAGCTGCTTAGATTGCACTTAAATCCTTGCACAGTTTGTGAGGTTACTGGATATTGCATATGGCTGCAACCGTTACGCCAACAAGACACGCATTTATCTATATCCATTTCTTTAGATATTTTGCCTCTTATGCAGCCACAGTTTCACTGGCAGCTTAGAAAACCAGGGAGAGATATTGGAAAGAGAGAAATTCCCCACATTTCACTCACGCAAGACTTTGCAAGCTGTTCTTGATGACAGCTGAGCACTGCGAGCTAAAGCAGCTTGTTCCGGCTGTCAGCATCTGAGAATCTACAGCGACGAGATACAATTGCGATGACACCACTGCAGTAGACTTTGGTCAAGCTTATGGTCACTTTAAAGTAGAATGTCAACCATTCCTTTCTCCTTCAGTAATTTGATGCGGTGCCATTCAAAAAAAAACCATTAGAAACTATTTGTTTCATATCTAGGCCGGGGATCAAAATGTGACAAGTGTTAGGCGGATCCTCCTTGAAGATCTACTAGAACGGGACACCAACATGACTGACAGATTCCATGGGCTTTCTCTGGAAATATCAGGTATATTTCACTCCAAACCATTTCCCAGCTAAACATGATGTTGGGCAGCTTCTTTATTTTTGCAAGGCTTTTCTGCCTTCTTGTATAGGGCAATCAGACTTTCATAAGATGTTTCCAAAACAGACAATCCTCCAATTATTTCTTCTTTCTTTCCTTCCCAACAATAGTAAAGATTTTGAAGAATAGCTATTGGATATAAACAGACAATTTTCTATTCCTGAAAAGCTGGAGGGTGGGTGTGGGGGTTTACTATCATAAAAGAGAAATGCAAAGATAGCTGAGCGTAATCTGTGAAATAAACAGGCAAGCAATTCTGATAAGATTTACTTTTTAAAAAAATTTTGCTCCAACTGTGCCAGTTAATCTCACAGGTTTTGTTTCCATTATGTTTTGATAGGACTAAAATCTTGTACCGAATACAGCATTCACACTGTGCATCTGTTCACCGCAAGAATAATTGGATGTAAACAATTGATCAGTACAACTTTTTAAATATTACTTTACAGGTCTACACTATTGCCTTCAGCAATGAAAATTTAACATGATAATTCTTGCCTCCTAACCTTAATCCAACACTGAAATATTTTCCCTTTCCTCCTGTGCTTTTTTTTAAAAAAAATGCATACTGTGAATTTTCACCCAGACAGATGCATGATTGACATTCAAAGTTTTTTTACATTTTCTTCCATTGCTCAGTGTCCTTATATATAATGGATACGAAAGTAAATCACAATATGGTAGCAAGCAAACCAGAATAAACAGAAGTGCAGCCATAAAGATTGCTGCCAATCTTTGACATATTTTTCATTTCTTCCCTACAAGTAAAATCTCCTTTGAGTTGATCTCATGGCAACTCTGAGTGGTTTGCCAATTGGCCTCTTCTGGAATTTTAATGTTGTTGTTTGCTTCGTTGTTTCCTAGTTCTACCTGCATTTCTGGTCTTCTCTAATAGTCCCCCCACTTTTTTGGTCCTAATGCTGGTCCAAACCCTGCTTAGCTTTTAGGGTCAGAGGATATCAGCCTGATGCTGCAATCTCCTTACCAGTAGAGACAAAACAAATATAGAGTTTGCCCAGGTAGTCCTCAACTTACAACCGTTCATTTAGTGACCGAATGAAGTTACAATGGCACTGTGACTGTTTTTCACACGACTGTTGCAGCATACCATGGTCATGTGATCAAAGTTCAGATGCTTGGCAATTGACTCATATTTATGACGGTTGCAGTGTCCCCAGGTCAAGTGATCCCCTTTTGTGACCTTCTGACAAGGGAAGCTAGATTCACTGAACAGACATGTTACCCATTTAACTGCAACAATTCCCTTACTAACTGTGGCAAGAAAGTTTGTAAAATGGGGGGAAACAGCTGTCTCGCTTAGCAATGGGAAATTTTGGGCTCAATTATGGTTGTAAGTCAAGGACCACCTGTATTCAGCAACTTCAAAGTATTCAACAGATTCGGGTTTCTATGGAGAACTTTATCTTGTAATATTTTCACCACACCACAAAGTCTGAAAGGTGGTCTAGTGCAGAGGTCCCCAACCTTTTGGGCACTAGGGACCGGTTCCATGGAGAGAGGTTTTTCCACCGACCGGAGAGTGCGTGGTTTTGTGTGCTGCCTGCATCTCACAGATGGGGCTTTGCTTGTTTGTGTGGACTGGTTGCTGGCATGCCGTGGCCCGGTACCGGTCCACGGACCGGGGGCTGGGGTCCCCTCGTCTAGTGAAAAACTACATGACTATGAAATAGCAGTCTTCATGCTTGTCATAATTGGAAGAGGAATGCATCTGCCCCGAAAGCATAGGGTTCAGACATAATTTGCCTCCAAAAGATCCAGAGACCATGGAAAAATAGGGAAGAGCACCAAGCAGACTTCCTTTGTGGCTGCCTCAGCAGCAAACAGAAAACTACACCTTCTGGAGGATAGAGGTCAACAGTCCCTGATGGCTTCTCAAAAAGCTCAGGGAAGCTCAATAGATCAGATGCTATTTGCTGCTTTTAAGCTGGCTGGCACAAAAACGTCATGCTATTTTACCATGATGTCTTTATCATATCAAGGTTTCTTTTCTTTTCTATTTTCTCTTCTTTTCTTTTTCTTTTTTTTTTGGGGGGGGGAGACGGTTTGGTGAGTAGTGATTTCTCTTTTCCTCTCTAAGCTGCTTGTAGTTGGATGCTATTGCAAAAAAGTGGGGTGTACTACTATCTAGCTGACAGTATCTAAAGATACTGTACCTGGAAGTAAAAACAGCTGAAAATGAGCAGATGAAAGCATATTTTATGGCCCAGAGCTGCAGGGGAATGAGTGAGCTATCTTAGCCACCATGGGAAGATCTGTGCCTTTAAGAGCAAAGGATATGAGGAGGAATAGAAAAGACAAATGGATTGAACAGATGGAGCAAGAGTAAAGACAACGAAAGCATCTGAAATGAAAAATATATGAGGAATGTAAGGATCTACTTTTTCATGGTTTGCTTCGTGATATATATTTCATTGCCTTCTCATTGTACCTCAATAAATGTTATTTAAAGGGTGAGATTAAAATATATATATTGATCTCCAAACCAGAATCAGCCAAAGTGGAATGTCAAAGAATGGCGAGAATGGAACCATTCATTGTATTGTATCCATGGAGGATACAATAGAAAATGCTGCTGA